CGTTACTTCAGTAGAGACGACACTGATAAACATTAGCATTTTATATATGTAGATTTATGACTTGTGAATTGTGAAAGGTGTGAATTACTAAACCTTTTCTAATTAACCTATCAATCTTTGCAGGTTCGATGACGATATCTCGTTAACCCCATACCTTCACTAACCGCCCCTCGCGATGCAGAGCGGTCGCGGTGGTCCCCCGCGACCCGGGGGCGCCTGGTCGCCGCTCCCCTTCCGCCCGCAGTCGCCCTACGGCCCGTCGCCGCCGCCCCGTCTTCTCGGCAGCCCCGGCGCCAACATGTTCGCGGGTCGGATGCCACCCGTGTGTCCCAGGCCGCGCTGGCCGGTACCCCCGCAGGGGATGGGAGCCTCGCCGCCACCGCAGGGACCGAAGCCGTTCAGGCTGCCGATGCATCCGGTAAGTAGTGTTCAGTTTTTGCCAAAAATCCAAAAATATATTCAGGAATTGTAAAAAATTTCTATACCTATGTGGCGGATTCATCTCTCCAAAAAATCCTATATGGGTATTTCGCCACTGCAAGAAAATCTACAAAATGAAATAGTTATTTTTTGTAAACACTTCTGCGTTAATCCCAAACGGAAACAAGTTAGGTTTACAGATATACAAATTTGCTTAACGAACAAAAAAATGCTTGACGTTTCGGAAAGTTCATCTCTTTCCGTCGTCGGAAGCAAAAAAATACAAAGAATAAAGAAAAAAACTATTTAAAATATTTAAATTCAACTATTCGAGAAGACTTTAGTTTTTAAAACAGATACATCTACAAAAACCGTTGACAATATAACCGTTATTTTAACAGAACGTCAACGGTTTTTGTAGACGTATCTGTTTTAAAAACTAAAGTCTTCTCGAATAGTTGAATTTAAATATTTTAAATAGTTTTTTCTTTATTCTTTGTATTTTTTTGCTTCCGACGACGGAAAGAATTACACTTTCCGAAACGTTAAGCATTTTTGTGTTCGTTAGGCAAATTTGTATATCTGTAATCCTAACTTCTGACAAGTAGTTTCCGTTTGGGATTAATGCAGAAGTGTTTACAAAAAATAACTATTTTATTTTGTAGATTTTCTTGCAGTGGCGAAATACCCATATAGGATTTTTTGGAGAAATATATTCAGGCTGTCTCATTTTCATGCGTTTTATGGGGTTTCTCGTTTATGAGTAGAGATACAAAGATGCGGTTTTCACATCACTGTACTACTTCTTAATGAAACTAAGGATGCTACACACAAATTTGTCCTAGCACTCTTCGTTCCTGAATTTCAAGGAGAATTTGAAATTGCATTTTCCGACTTCTCTCTATCTTGGCTATCTATAAAATCATAAGATAATATATAAATCAAATATATTATCTTATATATTTTATTTATAAAAAGAAATAATTTATGGGGCAAGCCTACAGCAAGATTAGCCATGAGACATGACTAAAACATGACTACCCGTAGACACTCAGTGTTTCTGCATTCCGGCTTCATCAATACGGGAGGAATCAGCAACGATGAACTAATGATCTTGAAAAATGAAAAAGGGGAAGCAAACGAGGCACAAGGTACCATTTGCAGCCTGGTATTTTATTTGTATATAAAATACTCCGTACCGTTTAGAAATACCTTTTTAGAAATTAAAAAAAAAACCATGAAAATATGGTTGAAGTCCTAAAAAGTTGGTAATAAAATTTCGTTTTCATACTTTGATAGATTGTTATCAGAATTGCAAGCTCACAGAATACTTAAGTCTTTTTTTTATTTAAATCATTTTAATGATTCAAGTCATATTTCGAAAGCTGACTTAACCCTTTCGACACGACTTTTAGGTATTGAATATTTTTCGGTTTTTACTGTTCAAATTAATTGTTTAATCACTAGGAACATATCTAGCCTTTTGTTATATTTTATTTTCATTTTTTAAATTTCGGGACAAATGTGACCCTGCAGTATACTAATGTCGGACATGTTTGTCCCAGCCACACACTGTACATACTGCAGGGATAATTATATCCCGCATTACAACACTGCAGAGACAAATATATCCCGCATTATAACACTGTGGGACAAATACATCCCAGCTCCCAGCAACACTTTTTTTCATGTAACTATCATACAAAACTTATTAGTCGAGTAAAAACGATATAAAAATGTGTCAAAATATTTTTTGGAGGTATAACTACATGCTATCTATACAGGATTATCAGTTAGGGCTTTGTGCATGTGAAATGATTAATTACGACCTTTTTGGAGGGGTCAGAAATTTTTTATTACGGAAAATGTCAAAAATCTGTCATAAATGTATAACCATGTTTTTTTACCTTTCCTACGCGATAACTCCTAAACTAATCAACTTATTCACATACTCTTTTTTTTAATCGATTGGGAACACCTAGGCGGTGATAGCTGAGGTAATTAAAGTTCCATAATGAGCGTATTTTTTTTGGAAAATGGATTAAACTTCAAACATTAACTTTATTGTATCATGGTTTTCGGTAAGCGAGAAACTTTTTTATTTGAAGGAATTTTTACATAGTATCTGCGTATGAAGTAAAGAAAAAATATTGAAAAAGTTTTTAAAACTTGTAACAACCTTCTATTACTAATAGTTTTATAGTTATCCTAAATTAGATATATAGAATAGGCCGCGCGCGAGACCGATCGGCGCGGCGCTCGGGCCTATATAACCGCTCCGAGACTCGATTTTATTTAGTGGCACGCATGTGGCACGGCGGACGCGAAGTTCCGTAAGCCTATTTCTGATTATGTGTATTGTACCTGCAGTTTGAAATTTAGTAAATTCTGTACGTTATAAATTATTTAGTTATGGACTGTTTAGCAGAAAAACTATAAACGAAAATGATAAGTTTTTTATTAAAAATCCTACTATACGAGACCTAAAAACTATCATAAATGCTGCGGAAAAAAAGCAAGATGTCTATGTATTTATTAAAGTTTATAACCGCTTATGACCATCAAAAATCGTACATTTCTATTACTACATTATTATTTATTAAAGTTTATTTTTATTAAGGCCGACTCTGACGACTTGTGTACTTGTACAAACATTTGATAGTGGGATATACTTGCCATGATGGTGTGAGTGGAGTGGTTCCTCGTGCAATTATTTGTCACTCGCCATTTTATATATACTTTATTTTGTACGGAAACCTTTCTCGATATGACGATTTATTGGCATATGATGCTAAATACCACAACGTTTGTTTATATAAATAGTCCCAAACAAATCGAGGCTAAATTAACAACATTTTTAATTAAGAAAGCATACTATACATTGGATGAATTTTTCACTGACTTAGATAAGCATTTTTATAATATCTCTTCCCGCTTTTATTGTTTGTGAAAAAAATTTTGTGCTGTTTTCTTGGGTGCTTTTTTTAAATAATTATAGTTTTTGTGTTATAGATAGCATTTATAGCATATTTCACATGTAGGTACTTTAATTTCTAATTCTATGTTAAAATTACTTTTAGTAAAGTTTTACGCATTTTAATTGAAAGTATATTTATTTTTTGTAAATATTTATTTAATATTAAATGCGATATACATACTTATGCATATATTTTTATTTAACTGTAGTCATATAATGTAAGTATTATTGTTTTTTAGGCTTAAGTTAATTCAATTTTAACAATTTCCCATGCTTATTAGGCTTTGTAACAATACTTTGTTATAGTTAGAGATCAAATAAATATTATCTAGCCTAACATCCTTCATTAAAATCTATAACGTTGGATAGAAAAGTACCTAAAAAAAGATTCGAAGAAGAGAAAAATCTAAAAAAGAATCTAGCATGACAAGTAGTAAGTAATCTAGCATGCAAGTAAAGTAGCTTTCTTAAACTGGACTGATTTTAACAACACTTTAGTTGACAACGAAATTTTTGTGTCCAAAATATTATACTTGCCATTTATAAACAATCCACCTACCGAATGTGATACCATATACCATATACTTCGATGGTGAGATTAGTAGATTTATTAGCTCAAACTTTAAAACAAAATATTTATATAACAGCACACTTGGTCATTTATTCAAAAGCTCGCGAAATATTACAGAATAATCCTAAATTATTACATGGGAAATTAACATTTATGCTGGGCGGAATGCACCTTAATCTGGCGTTTTTTGTCAGTATTGAGTATATTCTTGGAGATGGAGGCCTTTTTTCCATTTTTACGGAAACAGATAATACATCGAAAATACATGTAAAATGATGTAGAATAAAAAATAATATTCCAGGGCTAGTCGAGGACTAACTTTAGTTGCCGATGCTCTTTTTAGGCTTTTGTTTAAATCTTTATGTAAGTGGTATAAAGAGCAAAAGCAGAAAACAAAAATGATAACACCTACATATACAGGGTGTTTCAAAACAAATGCGAAAAACGTTAGGGGGTGATTCCTTCTTCAAAATAAAGGGTAGTTTGCTTTATAAACGTTGGGTCAAAAGTCAACCATTAGGGAGATATCGCGGTACAAAAATGGCGGAAAAATAATGTTTTTATTTTTTATCTTGAAAACGAAAAGAGATAGACTAATGAAATTTTATGGAAGCATTACTGTTATGAAAACACACTTTCAGATAATTTTTTTACTTTTTTAAAATGAGTGGAAGGGGTTGAAATAAACTACCCCTATCGGCCCTATCATTCTTGTTAACGAAATTTAAAGAAGTATCTTATCAAACACATGCAAATGCTTTAATTTGGATAGTTTAGTTTGTTTAGAAACTTTTTTACCTCTTGTGTTTTTTTGATAAAACTCACCGATTGGAAATTAAAAAATAAAATGTAAAGCATTACATGTCAGGACAAAAAACATTTTTAGATTAAGAATCTAGTGATAATAACGATAATAATAATCATCTAGATGAGAGAATAAGAATGGAAATATTCCGGCAACATGTCATGGTACAATCGATAGAATCGTGAAAAAAAAAATAATGTTCCATTTTCAATCCAAAGCACTTATCATTACTCTTTAAAAGATATATATTTTAAATATACAGATATAAGTAATTATCTAAATTAGTTAGGATATTACAAATACTTTTACATCTTTTCAGATTACTGTGTTAAACTATTTTCAGCTTGTAGATCTTCGAAACCTAAAATAAAATTAATAGTTAAAGTGAAAATTCATATTGGCAGAAAAATATTAAATGCAATAACAAGAATATGAGATAAAAAATAAATATTATAGTACTGTGTGACGGGACATCCAATTGTTTATTATTAAAGATTGTACCTGAACCATTTTCAAGCCCTAAAATTTTCTGTATTGTTAATGGTAGATCGTATAGCACGTTACATTCCGATAAAATATCGCATTTTGGACCTTAAACAGACATAGTATTATAGCTCCTGTAGATAAATGACAGTAGATGATGTTTATAATTTCAAAATAAATCTTAATTGGGATTTTAGTGTAGATATAGAGTAATACAATAAGGGGGCTAACAAACCAGCAAATCCAAGAAGGCGGCCGGCGGTTCCTGTCAACTGTCATGCTGAGGTGTAGGTGGGCTGTTTAAAATCGGCCCTCTCTGAAACAGACCTTCTCTGAAGCAGAACCAGTTTGACCATTTTGGATTTATTGGTCTGATGGCACTATTGTTATACTGTTATACTATTATAAAAAAAATTGAATGGATGGAGTGTTTATAATATTTTTGTTTTGTCTCGAGAACTCAATATGTGTCTAAAGCTTTAAAAGAATCGGTTTAGTAGAAGTAAATGGAAAATGGTTTGCAAATTTTGAAATCGACAAGACAAATAAGAAGATGTAAGTATAATAAAATCTCATTCAAGTCATACCTCTAGCATAAACAGGTATTGTTTCCGGATGCTCCTGTTCTTCAGCTGCCGACTCTTCTTTATTTTCATTTTCTATACATGATCCTAACGACATAAAGTTATATCAAATATTATAGATACTATTTTTCTCATTCCGTCACCTGTAACAATAATCAAAGTATCCTCCGCGTTAGTGTTTTCCATAACGTGTTTCACACTTTGAATCATCGGACTGTGTTTATTTTTTATCCCGTGCAAATGACCACCAAACACTACCATCAGAAAATTTGCTTCGGGAGTATCTTGAAGCGTCGTCAGTGTTGATTTGACAGTTTCAAATAGACCGGGGTCTTCCTTTTCTTTACCCAGGTTGCCTATATCGATGAAATCGTCTTCGTCTTCACTCAAACGATTCTTTATCTCTGAAACAACTCACTCTACTAAATACTTTAATGGTTATATTATTTATAGTCGGTCCTCAAGGATTCTTTATAAAATAGGAAATTCTCTTCTTTTGAAAGCTCGATTCAATCAAGAACATGTGGAATTCTTTCATTGGCAGCAAAGTGATTTCGTTTGCGTCAAATTATTTAAAATTATCCAGTCACCCCAGCTAGTGGTGTTATTTTAGTAATTACTTTTATTACAATTACTTATTAATAAGTTAAAAAATTGGCGCCGGGAGGCACGTATAGCCGCCCATACTAAAATATGTTAATATCTCGAAAACTGCGACTTTGACTGATTTTGATGTTATTACAAATTTTGTTGCAAATATTATTCCTAATCTTAATTTGAAAACCGCGTTTCGCTAGCTACTGTAATTTTGGAATTACGATTTTTTTAAATTTTTAACCCCCTCCCATACCCCCTTACCAACCCCCCACCCCCACCAAAAACTAATGGCCAGATTCTCGGGTGCCAGAGTATTCTTGTGCCAAATTTGGTTAAAATCGGTTCAGCGGTTTTTGAGTTATCGTGTTACAGACGGACAGACAGACAGACAGACACCATGAAAATATTTTGTATTTAGGTCATTTATGACCCAAATAACTCATTTTGAGTGAAATTAAAAAAACTTTTTTTTTGCCGATCCTAATAGCCTCCCATACCTATTGGTATGGTCGGCTAAAAAGCGTATGTCCAGAAATTGGCGAGCAAAGACCGCAGAATAAGATTTAGCATTCAAGATTACCTTAAGTATGGAAGTCACATTGAAAATATATTCTAATAAATAACAACACTGGAAATAATCTAAGAAATACTTATTTTAAAGGCTTTAGAAGCGGTTTCAGCACGATTGATCATATACATACACTAAGAGAAACTATCAAGCGAACAAAAGAATACGAGTTTCCACTAGCCATAGCCTTTATAGACTTTGAGAAGGCTTTCGAACAATAACATTTCAAAATTGCCTTTTTCGCTAAGGCAATAATAGAAGCCCTAACGAAACAAGGTATTGACAGGCCTTATATGGAAACTCTTGCCAATATATACAAAGAAGCTAAAGCTAGAGTAATGATATATAAAATAACCCCAGTGTTCCCAACTGGCAAAGTAGTATGACAGGGAGACGCGATATCCCCAAAGCTGTTTACAGCAACACTAGAAGAAGTCTTCCGTCAAGTAGACTGGACTAACAAAGGATTAAAAATAGATGGAGAATATCTAAGATTTGCTGATGACATAGTCCTAATTGCCAATAAAAATAGTCCTGAAGAACTACAAACACAAATTAACAAACTAAATGCAGCCAGCAATAAAGTAGGTCTCAAAATGAATTTAGCAAAAACTAAAGTAATGTACTAGACTGTAACGAACTAGTGGACAGAAGAGACATTCCTATAAATAACAAAAAACTGGAAATAATAAAAGAATTTATATATACATTTGGGACAACATACACAGCTCGGGATCTCTACTATCAGAAATCAACCGAAGAATTAAGTTAGCATGGAGTACTTATGGAAGAAGCTCAATCATATGGAAATCTAGAATGCCACTTTATTTAAAGAAGAAAACATTCGACCAATGTGTACTAACAGTGATGACCTATGCAAGCAAAACTTGGACACTTAAAACGGACATCATAAGAAAACTGCAGGTCGTACAATGCTCAATGGAACGAAATATGCTGGGAATAACCAAGAAAGACCGTAAAAGAATAGAGTGGAAACGACAAAAGACCCAGGTAAAACAAGTCATCCACAGAGTTAAATCCCTCAAGTGGCAATGAGCAGGACACCTGGCAAGAAAGACGGACAACAGACGGACCACAAAAATTACAGCATGTTACTCACGAGGAATTAAGAGTCCTAGAAGAAGACCGAACCTGAGATGGGACCATGATATTAGGAAATTAGTAGGGACAACTTGGGCCCGCATAGTCAAGAATAGACAACAATGGGTCCAACTACAAAGAGAGTATCTAAATATGTGCGGGAGGCTACACCATAATTGGAAAAAGTTGAAAAAGCTGAAAATGATGATGATGATGATAGAAGTCACAATTAATTGAGGACCGACTATAAATAACATTATTTTTTTCTAGCACTTACTATCTTCAAACATCTTTCCCAAAAACGAATACCTCACGTGTTTCATAACATCCAACACATCCCATTTAGGTTTCTTTTTATGATGGCCCTCGTAAGGTACGTTCACATCTTCCTCAGTCTCCCTTTTTTTGACCTTTCTTTTAACTCTGATTTGGAACACTTCGGTATGTTTAGGAGTGGTAATAATAGTCCTTTTATTATTTTCATTGTTAGGTTGTATAATAGTGTTCTTAGAAGGTTGTTCGTAGTGCAATATTGGCAAAGCTCGCTTAACTTTTGGTGTTTCTGATTCGAACACTACGTTGGATGGATGGTATGGAGCCTCTGGTTCTTGAATGTCGTTGGATATTTCAGTACTGGATACTGCAGCAATGGCTGTAGATATAACATTTTATGTTAGAGGAACCGTAGCTACTACTATTCTTTTAATTATCAAAATAGTTAAATGTTTTGGTAAAATATATTTTACTCGACACTATATATTTATTTGACAATTTAATGATGGATAATCACAATAAAGTAAAACCTAATTATATCTTAAAACCTTAGTATCACCTAGTAGATATTGATGTTAATGTATTTTTTTATGATAAAATCTATTTTAATATAGTCTCCAAGACACAGGTATTTATATTATATTGTACAACGAACTAGTAGACAGAAAATACATTCTAATAAATAACACAATAATATAAAATAATAGGCCAGACATAGTATTGATCGATAAAGTCAATAAGATGGCGTCTATAATTGAGATGGGTATTCTCCTCTATCATAAGATCCAAAAAGTAGAGCAGGAAAAATCTGTTAAATACCAAACCTTGCTTTCGAACTAAAACGTTTGTGGAATCTAAATTCTGTGAAGATTGTGCCTGTAGTAATTTCCGTTCAAGGTGTTGCCACGAAAAGATTAATTTTAAGATTAATTATGAGAAAACTAATCTGGAAGCGATATATTTGACAAAAGGCCTCTCATTATTAATTCCATGTCACATAGTTGGAAAGTTTCTATCGCTGTAGAATTGTTCGGTTGGAGTGAATTCTCCTCAACAATTTTGACACTTACCGATAAAAATCGAGAAACAGCAACAACAACAAGAAATAATAGAAGAATATATTATAGGTATAAAGCCGGCTACAGACGGCATGGCAAGCCATGGCCAGCGTTTCAGCAAACGTTTGTAGAAGCGTTGGTCTTTGCTTTATATTCGCGCACCGACGACCGTACACATTACATATTTTATCTTTGCCAGTCTTTTCGAGGCAAGTGAAGGCGAACGTTGTACAAGGGTACAAAAATAACACAAGAAATGGAGTTCGACTGCGATGATGAAGTAATAGCAGCGTCTGCTCTACTTTTAACTTCATCTGCATTACTTCTGTCAAAAATCCCAATTCTCTTCTCATTCTCGCAATTCTCTTCTCATTCGACAAACTTCTTCAAGGGATACCATAAACTATTCAAACAAATTAGAATTTTATTGTCATTTAAACTCAAGCTCTCTTGGACTAACATATGTCGTGTGTACGGCGATCAAGCCCACTGGCGAGTTTCAACAAGTCCCTTTGATGTGTGTCGAAAATACCGCTTCATAGGCGAACCCTTTATGATAAAATCTATTTTAATATAGTCTCTAAGACACAGGTATTTATATTATATTGTACAACGAACTAGTAGACAGAAAATACATTCTAATAAATAACACAATAATATAAAATAATAGGCCAGACATAGTATTGATCGATAAAGTCAATAAGATGGCGTCTATAATTGAGATGGGTATTCTCCTCTATCATAAGATCCAAAAAGTAGAGCAGGAAAAATCTGTTAAATACCAAAACCTTGCTTTCGAACTAAAATGTTTGTGGAATCTAAATTCTGTGAAGATTGTGCCTGTAGTAATTTCCGTTCAAGGTGTTGCCACGAAAAGATTAATTTTAAGATTAATTATGAGAAAACTAATCTGGAAGCGATATATTTGACAAAAGGCCTCTCATTATTAATTCCATGTCACATAGTTGGAAAGTTTCTATCGCTGTAGAATTGTTCGGTTGGAGTGAATTCTCCCTCAACAATTTTGACACTTACCGATAAAAATCGAGAAACAGCAACAACAACAAGAAATAATAGAAGAATATATTATAGGTATAAAGCCGGTTACAGACGGCATGGCAAGCCATGGCCAGCGTTTCAGCAAACGTTTGTAGAAGCGTTGGTCTTTGCTTTATATTCGCGCACCGACGACCGTACACATTACATATTTTATCTTTGCCAGTCTTTTCGAGGCAAGTGAAGGCGAACGTTGTACAAGGGTACAAAAATAACACAAGAAATGGAGTTCGACTGCGATGATGAAGTAATAGCAGCGTCTGCTCTACTTTTAACTTCATCTGCATTACTTCTGTCAAAAATCCCAATTCTCTTCTCATTCTCGCAATTCTCTTCTCATTCGACAAACTTCTTCAAGGGATACCATAAACTATTCAAACAAATTAGAATTTTATTGTCATTTAAACTCAAGCTCTCTTGGACTAACATATGTCGTGTGTACGGCGATCAAGCCCACTGGCGAGTTTCAACAAGTCCCTTTGATGTGTGTCGAAAATACCGCTTCATAGGCGAACCCTTTATGATAAAATCTATTTTAATATAGTCTCTAAGACACAGGTATTTATATTATATTGTACAACGAACTAGTAGACAGAAAATACATTCTAATAAATAACACAATAATATAAAATAATAGGCCAGACATAGTATTGATCGATAAAGTCAATAAGATGGCGTCTATAATTGAGATGGGTATTCTCCTCTATCATAAGATCCAAAAAGTAGAGCAGGAAAAATCTGTTAAATACCAAAACCTTGCTTTCGAACTAAAACGTTTGTGGAATCTAAATTCTGTGAAGATTGTGCCTGTAGTAATTTCCGTTCAAGGTGTTGCCACGAAAAGATTAATTTTAAGATTAATTATGAGAAAACTAATCTGGAAGCGATATATTTGACAAAAGGCCTCTCATTATTAATTCCATGTCACATAGTTGGAAAGTTTCTATCGCTGTAGAATTGTTCGGTTGGAGTGAATTCTCCCTCAACAATTTTGACACTTACCGATAAAAATCGAGAAACAGCAACAACAACAAGAAATAATAGAAGAATATATTATAGGTATAAAGCCGGTTACAGACGGCATGGCAAGCCATGGCCAGCGTTTCAGCAAACGTTTGTAGAAGCGTTGGTCTTTGCTTTATATTCGCGCACCGACGACCGTACACATTACATATTTTATCTTTGCCAGTCTTTTCGAGGCAAGTGAAGGCGAACGTTGTACAAGGGTACAAAAATAACACAAGAAATGGAGTTCGACTGCGATGATGAAGTAATAGCAGCGTCTGCTCTACTTTTAACTTCATCTGCATTACTTCTGTCAAAAATCCCAATTCTCTTCTCATTCTCGCAATTCTCTTCTCATTCGACAAACTTCTTCAAGGGATACCATAAACTATTCAAACAAATTAGAATTTTATTGTCATTTAAACTCAAGCTCTCTTGGACTAACATATGTCGTGTGTACGGCGATCAAGCCCACTGGCGAGTTTCAACAAGTCCCTTTGATGTGTGTCGAAAATACCGCTTCATAGGCGAACCCTTTATGATAAAATCTATTTTAATATAGTCTCTAAGACACAGGTATTTATATTATATTGTACAACGAACTAGTAGACAGAAAATACATTCTAATAAATAACACAATAATATAAAATAATAGGCCAGACATAGTATTGATCGATAAAGTCAATAAGATGGCGTCTATAATTGAGATGGGTATTCTCCTCTATCATAAGATCCAAAAAGTAGAGCAGGAAAATCTGTTAAATACCAAAACCTTGCTTTCGAACTAAAATGTTTGTGGAATCTAAATTCTGTGAAGATTGTGCCTGTAGTAATTTCCGTTCAAGGTGTTGCCACGAAAAGATTAATTTTAAGATTAATTATGAGAAAACTAATCTGGAAGCGATATATTTGACAAAAGGCCTCTCATTATTAATTCCATGTCACATAGTTGGAAAGTTTCTATCGCTGTAGAATTGTTCGGTTGGAGTGAATTCTCCCTCAACAATTTTGACACTTACCGATAAAAATCGAGAAACAGCAACAACAACAAGAAATAATAGAAGAATATATTATAGGTATAAAGCCGGCTACAGACGGCATGGCAAGCCATGGCCAGCGTTTCAGCAAACGTTTGTAGAAGCGTTGGTCTTTGCTTTATATTCGCGCACCGACGACCGTACACATTACATATTTTATCTTTGCCAGTCTTTTCGAGGCAAGTGAAGGCGAACGTTGTACAAGGGTACAAAAATAACACAAGAAATGGAGTTCGACTGCGATGATGAAGTAATAGCAGCGTCTGCTCTACTTTTAACTTCATCTGCATTACTTCTGTCAAAAATCCCAATTCTCTTCTCATTCTCGCAATTCTCTTCTCATTCGACAAACTTCTTCAAGGGATACCATAAACTATTCAAACAAATTAGAATTTTATTGTCATTTAAACTCAAGCTCTCTTGGACTAACATATGTCGTGTGTACGGCGATCAAGCCCACTGGCGAGTTTCAACAAGTCCCTTTGATGTGTGTCGAAAATACCGCTTCATAGGCGAACCCTGGCCAGCGCCAACCTTGCCTCTGCTTTGCCATATGTTTTGCATACACACGATGCGCCAACGTTGAAACGAGCGGACACTGGCCAAGGCTTGCCATGCCGTCTGTAGCCGCTTTAATAGGTACAACTAATACACAGCTCAGGATCTACTAGAAATCAACAGAAGAATTAAGTTAGCATGGAGTACATATCTGGAAGAAATTCAATCATATTCAAATCTATAAAGTCAGTTTATCTAAAGAAGAAAAAATTTGACCAATGTGTACTATCGCAGCCATGACCTATGCATGAGAAACCTGGACATTTAAAATGGACTTTATAAGGAAACTGTAGGTCGCACAAAGCTCAATGGAAAGAAATATGCTGGGGAGAACCAAGAAAGACCGTAAAAATAGACTGGATACGACAAAATTTCAGGTAATAGATGCCTTTTACAGAATCAAATCCCCCAAGTGGCAATGGGTTGGACACCTGGCAAGAAGACGGACAACAGATGGATCACAGAAATCACAGCATGGTACCCACGATGAATTAAGAGACCTAGAAGACCAGACCTTTATATTTTATACCTAATAATTACAAATATATTATCTAAACATGTAAGGAAGGCTATCTATACCATAGCTGGAAATGGTTGAATAAGCTGAAAATTATGATGATGATTATATTGTTAATCGGAAACAAGAAATAGCCATCTTATCTGATAGTCAAGCAGCGTTAAAGGCGATCAACTCAGTATCAATCAATTCGAAATTGGTCAAAGAATGCATAGAGAAGCTGAATAAATTAGGCAAAGAAAACAAAGTCCTCCTACACTGGGTGCCTGCTCACCAAGGGATAGAAGGCAATGAAAAAGCAAATAATCTAGCTAGGAAAGCAGCGAACACTCCACTAACTGAACCAGAACCGTTCTGCTTTCCAAGTGGTAACCAACTCAAGGCGGAACTCAAGAACTTGGAAGATTCCATCCGCAACCTGGAATGGAAATTTTCCAATGGTCTAAGACACTCGAAGAAGTTTCTGAGGGCTTATGATCAAGAAAAATCACAGATCTTCCTGGGTCTGAGTAAGAACAATCTTCGGATTGTCACGGGGTTTGTAACAGGACACTGTCTCCTCAATGAACACCTCAGTAGATTGAAACTAAGAAGAAACGACGAATGCAGATTCTGTGGGGAAGATGGGGAAACACCAGTACACCTCATCACTGAGTGCGCCGAGACGACAACCATTCGTGCCATGAATTTTGGTACGACTGATATTGGAGATGGAGAACTACCCTCTATAAAACCTTCCCAGATACTGGCTTTCGTCAAAGCCCTGGGACTGTATGATGAGTTATGATTCAAGAAAGGGGGACACAATGGATCTGTAAGGTCGAAGTGATTAACCCCCCTCCCACTCATTCTAAATTCTAAAATTCTAAATTGTTAATATCAAAAATTTATCTACACATCTAGAAATGGTGTCCCATTTTAAAGACATATTTATATGATTGTACTTATTTTATATTTAATAATAAAACATAGAATACCTGTTTTCATCTTTAAAACTGAATGACAATAATGAGTTAAAGTCATCAAGCTTTCTTTTAGAAGATCTTTGCATAATTTTGATGTTTCTTCTGTTTTCTCTGCTTCAGTAGCTTCGCCATGACAATTATGCTAAAATACTTCATTGAAATAGTTTTTCTTAGAGTTTGGATTATCTAAAATTATTACCTTGACTCTGGCAACTTTATGGAAATTTAGGAAGTCCATTGAATCCTTCTGAAGACATGACAACTTCGTGGCGGCATTTGCAAAAAAGACGACAACGTTTATGTTGTGGTGTGGTTTACTGTTTGTTTCAAGCAATTCTAGAAGTAAGGGTTACACTATTTTTGTAGGTTTCTAAGTAAGTGTAAGAGAAATACCTTGAGATAATAGTGCATTCGGTTGGGATAATACTAAGAGAAGAGATAAAAAGAATGATTTTTCTAGAAACATACTTCATGAAAATGTGATTGTGTCAATGTCAGCAAATGCATGTCAGCCAATGCATCGTAGGATATTGTTAAATGCTTTAAATACGAAGACTAAGGAAGGAGCATAATGCTATCCATCTTTGAATAAGAAGACTAAGGAAGGAGCGTATCAAAAATCTTCCATCGCGAAGGGGCCTCAAATATGGCCGACTTAAATTCCGGTTTATCAGTGCCGTTCTAATTTTATTTAAAAAATGTAAAACTATGATATAGGGTAGACGTGGGGTAGACTCAATATATTTGTTTTAATTTTACGTTCTGAATAAATGTTTGTAGCAAAATAAAAACACTAAATCACCACAATACACCAAAACACTTTTACTTTTACACTGGACGCGCGTTTCGCTAACCATGTTAGCATCATCAGCAGATGATTATAAACTCACTTTATTCTAAGATTATCACTTATTCTTAGATTCAGTTTATAATCATCTGCTGATGATGCTAACAGGGTTAGCGAAACGCGCGTCCAGTGTAAAAGTAAAAGTGTTTTGGTGTATTGTGGTGATTTAGTGTTTTTATTTTGCTGTGTAACACCAAAGGTTCCAACCCTCAACTGTAATAAATGTTGGTAGTTATTAAAATTGTTTTAAAAATATAAAATTCTAACAAAAATAAAAATAGATAAGTTATAATAATTATTTATAATTACAAACATCCGACACGCTACTGAAGCAGGTAAGTCAAATTGACGTATCTAAATTCGTTGACATCTAATCTTTGACAAGTAGTAAATAAAAGCAAAAATGCAAGAAAAATATATAATTAGTTAATTTAAGTGAATTTCATAAATGATCGGTTTACTACACGTATGTATATTATATAGTCACTTACTAGCGAAAAGTTATTCGATTATTTCACTCGATTTTTGCCGAGATCAACCGCACACTACACAACCAACTATTTTAGAGTCTTTTTCGATAAATCGCGATAGTGTCACTGTTAATTTAAGTTCTGCCACAATTTCCATCTAGATTTACTACCTTTATACAACTATCAGTAGTAGAATAAATAATAAATAACATAAAATAAGTTCCGTAAAGAGTGACAAATCCACAAAATTTCAAATCAAATTCAAATGTGTCAAATGAATCGTCAAACAGAACTGTCAAGGATCCCCACCCTAGAATCCTTTTTCCGCTCACCATGCATGAGTACATGGATAGCATTATGCTCCTTCCTTAGTCTTCTTATTCAAAGGTTAAATGTATCCATAGAGTGTAGAAATATTTAGAAGATATAGGTAGTTCAAATTTAATGTGAATTATTTTAACAATGACAACTATTCAGCAATAGAAATAATATTAGACGTAAGTACAGGGTGGCGCCTCTCATACGACGAGGAGGCTCCAAGGCACTCTTTGTGAAAATGTAGATTAATTCAGAGCACTTTTTAAAGATATAGAGAGTTCTACAGGGTGGAAAAAGTTACACATCAAAGTTGTGTTTTTTGTAATGGAACACCCTATATATTAATTGATTTTTTAATTTTAGGAGAACAAAAAAGTTAAGTTTTATTAGGAAAGTATATGACTGAAATGTAAGGTTTTTGACTTATTTAACATTTTCTAAAAATGAAGAATAATTTTTAAATTTCAATAAAACCTACCTAAATTGGAATTTACCCGGTATAGCCTAATATGTACAGGGTGGTTCGAATTCGACGCTCATCATTGGGATTTCGGAGACCGTAAGAGATATAGGATCGTTTAAATGGAGGCAAAGTTGCACAATTTGATGCTCAATAAAGTGCCGTATTGCATTTTGAAAAATTCCGAATAGTTCCGAATATATTCGAAAAAAAAACGGAATTTTCAATTTTGTTTTCTATTGTTTCCTGGCTTTATTTGTTAAGATAACTTAAAATGAAAAACATATTTTCATGGCCACTTCTTCTGCTCTATAACTCTGTGTGATTAAATATTGACCCATCATCAACTTAATTTTTTTAAATACGGACCTGATTTTTTTTCAATTTAATTAAATCCTTTCATCACTCTTAAAACACTATATATAGTCACTCTGATATTTGCCGACGTTTCGTACAGAAAATTCCATCACCAGAATATTTTATGCAAAAAAATAAAAATAAAAAAATGCAATACGGCATTTTATTGAGCATCAAATTGCGCAACTTTGCCTCCATCTAACCGATCCTGTATCTCTTACGGTTTCCGAAATCCCAATGATGAACGTCGAATTCGAGCCACCCTGTACATAGTAAAAAAAAAACTATTGTAATAACTATTGTACTTTAAATCAAATTAAAACCTGACCCAAAAAGTACAGGATCAGGCAAAATTAATGTTGAACATGGATCACCTTTAAAAGCAAGTTACTCCTTTAGTTTAAATGGAAAATCCAGTATACTATTCTGATATTTAATGGGGAATTCATGTTTCTATAAAATACAATTATTAAGGTTGCCCCACCCTCAAACAAAGATTTTCTGTTGTTTTAAACTAAAAAGAGGTTCAAAGCGGTTCAAACCTGTTTATTCTTGTTTATTAGGGTATTTTAACCGTTCTTACCTTACGTGTGACGTCACTTCCTGCTCCGGGAGTCCTCTACTGCTATAATTTTTTACTTAGGAAAGAAAATATCAATATTTGTAACAGACCAAAATTGTAAAGACCTGAAATTAATTTACAACAAACATACAGAGTTATATATTTTCTTTATTATCTTCTTTTCTTTTTTTCAGCCATCACCAGCACCAAGATGCGTCTCCCCCGACCCCTACTTCCAAGGCGTACATCCCTACTCGTCGCGTACTTACTCCCCCGTGACCTACTCGCCGGTGACCTACGCCGATATCGGTCCCCCCAATCGCGACTACGAGTACGTGGGGATGCCTCTAACCCCTCCACCTCTGCCCCAAAACTACGAACTGGACGAGGACGAGGACTCTGGTCCGTCCACAGCTGAAATTATAGCCAATCAATCACAGGATTATATCGACGAGAAGTTGGCCGAGTATCAGGCGACCATATATCAGTTGCAGGGTAAGTTTGTGTGTGTTTAGCTAATGTACAGGGTGGTCGAAATTGGTCTGTTTTGACAGAGAAACGCAAGAAGATAGAGCAAAACAGACATAAATGTCATGTGCTCGATTTCTGAGATACGTTTAATGGCATAAACCGCCTGTTGAAATGAAAAAGGACTTTTGAATAGGTAAATTAACAATATGCAGGGTGGTCATTGCATAGTATTCCGGAAACTTAGGCAGCATATGCTGCAGGCTGTAGATAAAAATAAGTAAAAGGGTTTGTATAAATGTATGTTCTAAAATGCTTAGTTTTGGAGATACAGGGTGTAGAAGTTTCATTTTTATTTCGAGATTTTTTCCAAATAATTTATGTAGTAACGTCAATATCTGGATGAAAATTGGTATCTGGGAGTTTTTTGACATGAGAAGTTTGATTTTGATGTCAATATTATTCCTACTTGTAGAGGTCGCCACCTACATATTTCTTAACTGGTTTGAAGGATAATAACTTTTCGTCCGTACCTGTATAAAATTACTGAGTAAAAAAATATACATTCACGACATTTTTTACGTACAAAATTTCCCTCGGTAAAAATCGCTACGAGTAATGGTTCTCGAGATAATTGGAAACGAAATAATCAATACGTGTCATCACTGACATAAATTAAACATGTTGACTAATAGTCTAAGAGAGCTGGCTACATAAAAAACCTTATCATCGTTACATGGCTAATTTTTTGTGTGAAGTATCCTTTTGTGTAGCCATTATGAAATAGTCATGTCTGCCAGCGCGATCCCGGGGCTTAAAGCGGGGGCGGCCAATCGAAAGGGTGAAATTTTGGCACTAAAAATATTATAAGAAGCATGAGTTATAATTGCGAAAGTAGCTTTTATTTATTATTAAGAAACGTGGAAAATTTTTGGCAGACATTTTTCCAGTCGCTAAAATGCCGACAGAAAACGCGAAAGAGGCATGAAATTTTAAAAATTATTAAAAAATGAAATTTGAAGAATGAAAAAAAGTATAGCATATTTGCATGCCGATTGGTGAAATGTCATATTTATTTATTTTAAAAGCCGTATGCAAAAGGGCAGACAAAAAGATCGTGGCTCAATCAGCTGCAGACAGTTATCAAAAGCGCGATATTACTCTAGCGCTTTCAGGGAACGCTCGTCGCCTCATCCATTTAAGTATAGATAAATCATATAATATACGATTATATTATAAATATACATTTTTATTATTTCAATAACGATTTTTTTGTCTGCCCTTTTGCATACGGCTTTTTAAATTAATTAACAATAAACATGACATTCCACCAACCGACATGCATGTATGCGATGATTTTCTTTTGTCAAAATTCTGTGCTTCTTTGGCGTTGTCTGCCGGCATTTCAGCCACGAGAAAAATGTCTGTCAACAATATTACACATTTCTTAATAATAAATAAAAGCTATTTGGCAATTATAACTCGTGTACCTTATAATATTTTTAGTGTCAAAATTTCACCCCTTCGATTGGCGCCCCCGTTTTAAGCCACGGGATCGCGCTGGCAGACATGACTATTTCACAATGGCTACACAAAAGGATACTTTACACAAAAAAATAGCCATGTAACGATGATAAGGTTTCTTATGTAGCCAGACCTCGGTCTATAAATAGGTATTAGACTGAAATCATAAATTTGAAATGTTTTTGTGCTTAAAGTTCAACAGAGACTGCTTTATCATATTTTTTTTGGAGAAAAGTTTATAATTAATTAAAAAAAAAAAAAAATTATCAAATTTATTATTTCAGTAAAATAACGATCTACTCAACGTGTTTATTTTTTGTCAATAATGACATGTATTGACTATTTCCATTCTAAATATTTTGTGAACGGTTGCTTGTAGCGATTTTTACCAAGATACATTTATTACGTAAAAAGTCACGGAGATGTATATTTTTTCACTAAGTAATTTTATACAGGTACGGACGAAAAGTTATTACTCTTCAAAACAGTTAAAACACATATAGGTGGTGCCCCCTACAAATAGGAGTCAT